CTATATATAGTGTAGGTTTCGATTAAAATATTCGGTGTTTAGAGTAAATTGCATGCCTTTAGGCTTATAGTTATATTCAACTCTTGATTCTCATCACAATAACAATGCATTGCTATGTGAGTCCTCCAGTCCTGTGCCGTCCCTTCAATTCCCTTATCTATAGCCTTACGAAGACTTGTTATGTTGTGTTCGCTTCTCAGGTCATAACGAAAAAGTGGTTTTCTTCGCAACTTTTTTCTTCCATTTCATTCAAATAGAAGTTTAGGTTTATATGGTTTCCAACACAAAAATATTAACAAATAAAAGGGAATAAATTTTTATTATTTAAGACTCTTATGGCCATAATTCTCAAGTTTTATATTTCGCTTTTAAAACAAAACTAGAGTTTTATTTCTTATATAAAATGCATTTGATAACAAATACTACTGTATTTTGTATTACTTTTGTATATATACTGTATATAATCTGTAAGTTATATAGACTCTATTATTGAGCGTATATTTGGTTTTATTACATAAATTTTATTCATTTATTGAACTTTACTTCTCTCCGAAAACAAACTCGCTTTTCATCACTATTGGGTTTAGTTATCATTTATGTTTTAAAATTATAGTATGATTACATAAATTATTTAATTATATAAATAAATTGAGTAAGCAGTTATATTAAAGTTTGTCGAGTTTTTTATATCTTAATTTGAATCAAATTTATTCATTTCTGTGCAAACAAATTCAATTATATATCCAATTTACGATGCAATATTAAAGTTTATATCCAACAAATGCTATACTCTATTATATTCGCATCCACTGTATTTAGATATATTTATCTATTCTTTTCATATAACTTAAAATAATGTATATTTATTTTACAATACAATAATTCTCATCAGCAACTAATACATCCTTAATTTATATGGATTTATGAGAAAAACTTTTATTTGTGAACATTCTCTCAATTTTTAGTCAATTGTGATGAATTAGTTGAAACAAAAAATGAATTGATAAAAGTGATGAAAAATAAAATAATTGTATATCAGAAAAACAAGTTTGAAGTTTATCAATAGTTATCCCAAACCTAATGCTACAAAATTAATATTAGAAACAAAACAACAATAATAATAATACAGAATACGATACTTTGATTACAGCTCACATATTAATTGAAAAACATATGATTTAATGTCAGATTTATATGATTTGTTGTTCACTACTGGAAAGCAAATCTTATTTTGATTGATGATATGTCTTGTGTTAAGAGAGGCTGTACTATAGGAGCGAAAGAGTCTAACCCTTCACTAGTCTTTTATCTGACAAATAAAACGTATTACGGCTCACATTCAAGTGATGAAATGGTGGGCCAAATGTATTAATTTTTCAATATTAACACAACATATAGTAATCTATAATAAAAGCAAACAGTCGACCGATTCTTTAGGCCTTAAAACCAAAACTAATTTGAGCCAAAGTTTGTGTAATATAATGCTTGAAGAATAATAGCCTCGTTATTAATACTAACAAATCTCTGCTAATATGAGCTCTCATTAAATGCAAATAATTTATTACAATTTATCTCAAATTATACATAAAAACTAGAAACTAACTATTGATTTTGTTTACGATTCTGGTTTTTGTTTGCATAAGAATATTATTAACAATTATATAAATATAATGTATATACATGTATATCATACAGTATATAAATAATACAAGTTATATATATATATATTACATATCAATTCATCCCTTGAGGCTCTTCTCTATCCTCACATCCATTGAAAACATATTTGTGTTATGAGTCAGAAATACTATACAATATTTCATAATTACTTATATAAGTCTAACTATATTATATATTACATATCAATTCATCCCTTGAGGCTCTTCTCTATCCTCACATCCATTGAAAACATATTTGTGTTATGAGTCAGAAATACTATACAATATTTCATAATTACTTATATAAGTCTAACTATAAAAATAGTTATTTCGATGAAAAACTTTTTGTCTTTGAGTGCAATTATAATTTGTGTTTTTGTATTACAGTAGGACGGGATGCAGTACGGCTACCAGTGCTGATGTTCATTCACGGGGAATCGTATGAATGGAATTCTGGGTCCAGTTATGACGGATCAGTTTTGGCCAGTTATGGCAATGTGGTGGTCGTCACCATTAATTACAGGATCGGTGTTTTAGGTGAGAGACACTAACTTTCATGAAATGTGTATTCGTTTCGCTTAATACACAGCAAAATACACGACATTATAGTTTGCCATCAAATGAATGCCATTCTTATGGCTGTCAGCACTGATCACAACTCCTAAACATTAACACAATTCGCTTTGAATTACATCCAATTGGGACTTATAGTCATTATAATCACTAAATAGGGGCTCACTTTTTGTCTCATCGAGTATTGGTTGTGTTCATCACTACATGTGTCGTGACTTAAATCTCTCTAATGTTTAAAACGAGTACAACATTGCGTGCAGTACTCAGTATATGATTAACAAAAAGCAGATTAACTTATCATTTATTTAATTCACATTTTTTATATATTCCTTATACATAAATATTCCTGGTATATTCTTATATATTATATTCTTTACATAGCATTCAATCACAAATTCTGTGCATTTCTATTAATTTAATTCACTTTTTTATTCTCTCTTTTGTTATCATTGAATATAACGTGAAGAATGAGTTGATATCTAAATAGCTTTAGCCGTCATTTGAAAACTCACTCCTTTTCCCTATTTTTTCAATCAAAACTAAATCATCTTTTCTTTTGAGAGCAAAAGGGAATCATTTTTCAAGAAAATGCAGATTTTTTGTTGTGTTTTATATTACGTTTACAATTTCTTACGTCTCCTTTTTTTCAACATTAAAATAATTCAATTTTAGACTTTTAGCCAAAAACTAGAGTGAAATCGATAAATAAAGTGAATGTTTTGTGAAAATGAATATTTTTCTGTTATTATGATTAGCAAATCACGTCATAAATCAGTTGCAAATGCAATCAATTTGTATATTCCTTAAGCGATTACTGTGTTTTGTCATACATTTATCATAATTTTTATATATCTCACCATATGATCAAGTAATTATATATTTCAGTAAATGTTATTTCCATTAAAACGTTACTAAACTATTGGAAGAATCTGTTGAAGAATATAATGTCTTCTAAATTGAAATTTTTTACAACTCAACGATAACTTAAATTCATTATAAAAGTCGGCAGTTATTACATAAATAAATTTTAGTGGTTTTCATACGGAACGAAAACTCATATAAAATGATGGCAAAAAATTGACTGCCAGTCACTCGCATGAAGTACTGTTGCCTTTTGTCAATTTCCTGCGAAAATCCTAAACTAACTGTTCTTAAGCTGCAAATCAGCCCTCCATTGCCTGCAGTCTGTTTTGCTGTCTCTGAACTCTGCGGTTATTTAATTATTTTCTATTTGCACACAACGTTTGAGACCCAAAACGCCATACTCTATATGCTATCTAACCGTTCAATACATCCAATGGTGAGCGCATCACATCTCTCTCTCTCTCTCTCTCTCTCTCTCTTTCTCTCTCTCCCCTCCGCCACATATTCTGCATGTTTTTTGTTGTCTTAAAGACTCTCTTATTTGTTTTTAATGTTATTTTCATGTAGTCTTGCGTTTGACTCCATGAGCGCTACAGCTTTTACTATCGATTAATCATAATATCGTGAAATAACAAAAAATTGACTCAAATTTTTTAAATCAAATTTTCAACACTTTTTAACAAATTTTCGTTGATTATGTAAAACAGATCCAAACAATTATTGAACACAAAGGGGTTGTTAAGATTTTTTTGCACTTAAGAGCTAAAAATAATAATTATCGATTAAAATCCAGAACATGATAATTAAAATGTAAAAATAATATTTATTTTTTATAAAACAAAAACATTAATTATTTACTTTAATTTAGATAATACATTTTTGGTAATTATGTTTACACGGGGTCTTAGATAGAATTAAAGCTAAATTGTTTTGAGTCAAAATTAAAAAATAAGACTCAAATTTTTATTTGCCATCAAATGTGTACAGCACAGTTAGCACGAAAAGCTGTTAAATTTTATATCGATTTGAAAAGTGGTGTAAATTCTTGAGAGCGAAAGTTTTATCAAACTGTCAAAAAGTCTGGTAAAGTAGTGAACAAATTAGCCAATCATACCATCACTACAACACTCGTTAAGCAAAGATGCTCTCAATGTCTTCACGGCTCTCCATCTGCTCTCTCTCTCTCTCTCTCCCCTCATCTCTCATATTGTTTTGCTGTTTCTTTGTAGTTGTTTTTGTATGTGTCGTCCAAATGCTTATTTAGCTAATGTTTTCAACTCTAATCCTTCATCTGTTATCTCTTGCATAAGTCATACCTATCTATAAATGGATAATATGTTTATATGAATCACTCATTCCTCAAGTCATATGCAAATCGTGATGAATGACAGACAAGAATAAGCGAATGAATTGAATGACAAATATATATGAAAAAGTAATGTTAAAGAATTCATTCAATCGTTTTGTCAGATAAAAAGTGTATAAATCTATGCATTCATTCAATTGTGTTTCAAAGAGATTGAGGCAAAACTGAATGCATTACGAGATTTAAGTCAAAACGAAATTCTCATGAATTAAGTTGATATGAAAAACAGTTGACCTCTTATTTTGAATGATTTTGCCTCTAATAAGAGCTTATTATTAATATATTACATATTATTATGGCTTACAGATGATTATAGAGTCAGAAAATAATCTGTCGTTTTATATTATAATGCAATCAATCAGTACTTCTAATGCCTCTTATATTCAGAGAATTTGCTTTCAAAATAATAGATAATAGACTTTCATCTCTAGAATTGCATTATTCTGTTGTTAAGGTTTCTTCCCATCCCTGGACGGCACAGCCAGAGGTAATTTCGGTCTAATGGATCAGGTGGCAGGTCTTCACTGGATCCAAGAGAATATCAAAGAGTTTGGCGGCGATGAGACCAATGTGACCATCATAGGCCATGGACATGGAGCCGCTTGTGTCAACTTCTTGATGCTCTCTCCTATGGCCAGAGGTTTGCAATCATATAATTGCTGACATCACCCAAACACTTAGCCATAATGACTGACATCCATCAAATTGTAGGTCTATTTCATCGGGCAATTATGCAAAGCGGATCAGCTCTGTCTCCGTGGGCCATAGCATCTGATGCGGTCACCCATTCCCGCAATTTGGCGAAAGCCTTGCGCTGTCCCGACGAACCCGACAAGAACTCAGTTATGGTCGACTGCTTGCGCCAGAGATCCATCGATGATATCATTGCTGTCGACCTCCGAGTTCCCACTCATTTGACGGCGTTTGGACCCGTCATCGATGGCATAGTCATTCCTAACGATCCGGCGATCCTTATGTCTGATATGAACTCGTTTTATGCAAACTATGACCTCCTGTTCGGAGTGACCAAAATCGAGGCCTACAATCAGTTCACAGCACATGACGAGCGCAATGGTATCGATCCTCAGAGGAGAGATAGACTCTTGAGAACACTCATCAGAAATCTATTTTCATATCATTTACAAGTATATGAAAGCCATATATAAGTCCACTCTTTCCTCTCTAATCTCGATTTCTTTTGCTTTGCTTTTCTTTATTCTATTCATTGAAATGTTTTGTTTGAATTGAAAGGAAATCTTCTTAACGATTGTCAACGAATACACTGATTGGACGCGACCGGCACTCCATCCCATCAGTACTTTCGACTCAATTGCCGACTCATTTGGCGACGCCTTGATTGTGGCGCCCATTATAAGGGCCGGACTCTTGCACTCGAGGGTCAAAAAGAGCACTTATTTCTACAACTTTGCGTATCAGACAGAAGAGGGTGACTTCAACTCGCGTTCCGGTTGTATCCACGGCCAGGACTTGGCCTATATGTTTGGCGCACCTCTCGTGTCCGGAATGCAGTTCTCATTCTTCTCGAGCAACTATTCTCGGGCTGAAAGTGCTCTTTCGGAAACAGTAATGACATATTGGACTAACTTCGCAAAGACCGGGTATTCATATAAGTATTCATAAGAGCCTTATTAGACAAATACATGTCAGCCGTGTTTGTGGCAATAGTCCTATTTCTGTGTGTCATTAATCATATGTTTGGACAGACATTCAATTTGTTTGCATTCATATATCATGTATTAGTGATCCGAATGGTGTGGCCATCAGTGCGGAGGAGAGGAGTGCCGCCACAGCCAAGGGAAGAGTGCAATGGCCTCCATATGACGACATTCAACAGCAATACTTAACGATCGGTAAAATCGTAGCGAAGACTCAATTGAGTGAATATAATACAGCATTAAATTGTTTTCCATAGCAATGAAGCCTAAGAATAGAGATCATTATCACGCGCATAGACTCTCATATTGGCTTAATCTGTTGCCACAACTCCACACTCCCGGCCCATCCAATGCTGAGGAACACCATTTATTAGAGGTATGAGAATATTCTGTACAGAGATTATAGTCTAATAATAATGAGCGCCGAATAAGACAAATGAATGATGGCTTGTATTAATGAAAAAGATAGTAAAATATTACTCATATATATACAGAATCTATATATCTGTATATATACCGAATATATCTTATCTTATCTTTTCTTTACCTTCGCTTGGGTTTAGGCTCACGACGACCCTCTCAGTTATGATGGAGTGGTGCGCTCGAGCTCTCTCACGGCTCCCACACCTCTCACCCATTACTTCACGACCCACTCGAGCGCCGATATCATCGAAGCCACTGTTGGCTCGACGACAGTGAACAGCACCCATAACTCGAGCCATTTGTGGGCGACTCCGACGAGTACATCGGCGGTGTTGGCCGACAAGACCCACCAACAAAGTGCCTTAGATTCCGGAGCCAAAGCCAACGCCAATCCCAGCAATGCCTCCGTGTCTATGATCGTACAGCAGAGCACTTACTCCACAGCCCTGTCCGTCACCATAGCTATCGGGTGTTCACTACTCATACTGAATGTGTTGGTCTTCGCCGGAGTCTTCTATCAAAGGGACAAAAATCGATTGGAAGCCAAACTCATTCGCAAGAATTATCAGGTATTTCATTGATTTTTCATTCACTTCAGACGTCTTTCAATGGCATTTGAATCGACTTTTTTCGGTCCATTGAATACCAAAAAGTTTGAATAGAGATCATATGATTGACAAACAGATTGAGTGACAGAGTATGCAGTCCTCTACTAATGAACTGTTTGTTCTTTGAATCACTTGAAGGTTCAAAAGATGGATGAGTTCAGTATGACTAAGAATCCGAGCTCTCATTCGCCACTTAAGCAGCACTCGGCACCAATCGATGCCAACACAGCCACAGTCCATCTCCACTCCAATTCAATACAAAGCGATTACGTGTCGGGAATGGCAGGGATGGCAGGGATGGCCACTTCCAGCCAAAAGCATTCGCACAACTCCATGCTTATCAGCCAAGACTCGCCGACACCGCTCTCATGTCATGTGCCAATGGCTTCGACCAATAGGTTGGCGCACGTGTCGATGGCCAACAACACCTACCACTCGAACTCCGTGCGAACTCTGCCCCGAATGGACCACAAAGTGGCCACAGTTAACGTCATCAACACCGCGTCCAATACGGCCACTCTCGGACACCAACAAAGGCATACCCTTTCACACGAGATGAGAGTTTGACAATTCAAGACTACTTCAGTCTAATTGATAATTCAATTATTTCATTGGATTGATTAGTAGTAAAACTGATTTATAGTGTGCCTCAAAGCTATTCAACGGCTGTGACTAACATTTGTTGCATTCAATTATGACTTAAATGAACAATAATTTGCAAATTAAGACTCAAATGTGAATACTTTTTTGTTAAATCAATTGTGAAATTGAGTGAAGTTTCTGCCAATTAGCGTGAATTTACTGAATTCATAAAACTTAAAAA